GTTCATTCGTTTGTTCGTTCGTTCATTCGTTTGTTCGTTCGTTCGTTCGTTCATTTTTCAGTTTGTCATCATCACCAATTATCATAACTTTTATTAATGATATTTTTTCAATAATAAAAGACATGTTGGAAGACATGGCCCACAAAATACATCCAATATGGCGGCCATGACGTCACAAACACTTTAATCAACAGAGTTTTTTAATTGTATTTGTAGTTTTTAGCATGTTTTTGCATGCATTAATTACGCCGTTTTCTGTTATTGCATGTTTTGCTTTGCAGGATATGACGAGCATGTCACGTCGCTACTAAAACAACTAATTTGCATCATTTGCTCAAAGTGAGTCTCTAAATACTCTAAACCAACCATTCATTTTAAACTTTTCTATCGAGTCTCGATGTTCAGGTATATCTTGGAACTGAGCATTCATGCACTGGATAAAGATAAATCAAATTAAGAGACGGATAAGCGACTTAAAGTAATATAAAAGTGAAGCAAAAAAATAAATAGAAAATATCCATATAAATGCGGTGCTGCGCTGCGCTGTGCTATGCTATGCTATGCTGTGCTGTGCTGTGCTGTACCGTTTGTGGGCGTATGCATTTGCTATGCTAGTTTCTTTTTTTTTGTTGTTGTTGTTGTTGTTGTTTTGTTGCTATGTTGTTCTTAAGGACCAAATAACATTAAATATGCTCATTAAATTCTTTAAAATGGATTTAAAAATTTAAACTGCATAAATTTTAACAAAAGGGAGGCGTGTGACCAGCCCCACCCTCGGCCCCACCCCCGGCCCCACCCCCCAGGATCTTAGCAGAGTACCCCTCAGGAATTCTCGAGGAAGACTCTGCTAGCAGGGAACTCTTTAACTTGGCTCTAGGCAAATTATTTGAACTAGGCGATGTTGCTTCTACCATTTTCTGAATGTTGAGTGTTCCGTTTTCTCTTTAGAGTTTAACAGGTTCTTCTGAAGTCAAAGATGAAGATGAAATCATCGACTTGCTTAACGCAATATCAGAATCCAACAAGGAATTCAACTCACCAAGCAAGAATAAACAACCCAAACCAACCCTACACAAACGAGATACAGACTCTGTTCTGTCGTCTATCCTTAGTTCTATAGCAGCACCACCCTCGCCTACCACACCCCGCAGCAATGACCTAAATGATGCTGATAGTATAAATAGTGATTCTGATGCTGAGTCATTAACAGGACAAGAGAATTATACCATCGATGACAGCCGAGCAGAATATAGCACTGGGGATTCATTACAAAGACTTAGTTCGGGATCGTATGAAAGCAAGCACTTATCTGACAGTTCTAATAATAAATCGAATGGAAAGACGCAGTCTTTCGACAGTTCTGACTCTGATTACGAGGATATAAATGTTTTTGATATGTTACAAGATAATAGTAAAATGGGAATGAATAGAGATATTGGCAATATTGATAGTAATAATACAGAACTTAATGGGACTATATCTGATGTTCCACCACCTGTACCCACCACGTCCATCCCATTGGGGGACGATGAAGACCTCCCCGCACCCCCTCCTAGAAAGGAGTCTTTGCTTAAGTCGTCTGATGATGGATGGTCGTCTTCAGGTGATTCAGATTATTCGTCGAAGCGCAAAGTGAATGGATTTGTTACCCTGCATAGTAGGTAAGGAAACTAAACCATGTCATTTTTTGTGCATTTCTCATGCAGCAGTCATGTTGGGTGGGGCAGATTTTTACCAGCATAGCTTCTTATTTAGGTAAAGCAATAGGCATAATACGATTATCTCTCGATGTCAGCTTCCAGACGTCGGTTTTTTCTTGTCTTTTCTTTCTTTCTTTCTTTTCTTTTCTTTTCTTTTCTTTTCTTTTCTTTTTTTTTTCTTTCCTTCCGTCAATGAAGGAGATACTAATTCACACCGATAAAATTATTTTTAATGGCAACCAAACACCCAAACTTCTAATAAACCTCTTTACCTTGTGCGTAATGTTTTCCCATTTCAGGCCACGTGTCATTCTCTTCAGAATAAGATTATTTGTTTGAGTCGTATCATATTCATGTGTCTTCTCATGCGCAACCGTTAAACAAAAAAAAGATACTCTAGGGAATGACACGTAGTCTGAAATGGGATAAAACTACAGCCAAGATCTATTATAGATAAGTAAGTGTCTGTGCTTCGTAATTATTTAAACTCCCTTCTCATTCATCTGCAGTAGCAGCGAAGGAGACATGGCCAGTAAAGCCAGCGGTCCCCTGATTGACGTCACATCCGGTGGCAGGTACACGGGACACAAACTCAAGATGTTGATTGGAGCTTTACAGTCCAAAATCGAATCTAATGTTATGGCGGATGAATTTAAGGTTGGTTGGTTGGTTCTTTGATGTGCAATGGTTTTTTATTCCTTTTCTTATTATTTTCTTTTTTCAAATCTCTTTGAAGTGCAACATAAAGTAGGGAAGCGTTTACCTTTACGATAGAGTACCAAAGAGTAACGTCATCAAATTCCGAATTTTGCAATTCAGTTTTAAATGTTCATATTTGAAAAGGACACAACATTGCCTTTATTTCTGCCAACTTTAATACTGTTGCGAGCTGTAGAACGAGAACGAAGATATTGGATATTTAAGCTCCAAAAATCCCCATACATTTTCTCTTATTTTGGACTGGATCCGATCACCTTAGATCCAGCCTCAAATAACAGAAAATGTATGGGGATATTTTTGTATTAAACGACCCATATCTCAGCTTTTTGCTCTATCGCACTGACATTCCGCACTATATATCGTATCTTTACATACAGTTTCTAATAGTGTCACCAGAAAAAAATCTTTAAAAATAATTTTGTGACTTCATCGATTCAGTAACTTTATTTGTAATGAGGAGTACGTTGAGACCCTTGTGAATAGATCAGTAGTGGTGTGCTATTTGTTTCAATATTTTTTAGTACAATCATGGTTTGATTCGTCTTCAGGCTCTAAGGGAGATCAAACCCACTGATGATTGCAGTGTTTCTAAACACCCAGAAAATAAAGACAAGAACAGATACAGAAACGTCTTGCCTTGTAAGTACGAGAGTTATGCTTTTTTAAATTTTTTTATTGTATATTTACCTCTCTACGCACGTTTTGATTGGTTGGGAACTGTGCTGTCTTAGTAAACAAAGCACGGTGCTGATACCAACTGCACGCGCCCAGCCAACTTATCAAACAGGGCTTAAAATAACGTCTGGTCTTGGCAAATAATGTCCGGCCAGAACTGGGACTTGTCCTGTCAAATCTTTGCCTTGCTGGTCATTTTGACCAGTAACGTTGAGCCAGATATGATGTATTACAAGCTAAATCTAATTTGGCTGATCATCTTGGCTGGCAACTTATCAGCCATTATTTTGAGTCCTGGCAAAATTATTGTAAGAAAACAGCATTGTAAACTATAACCCTTTTCCATTACAAATATTACAGCAGCTAATAATTATAAATGTAATGTTGGTGTATTTCTTTAGTTAATGAAACACGAGTGCATCTGAGTGGTGAAGGGAATGAAGACTACATCAATGCCAGCCATATTCGAGTACCAGTAGGAGAGGACGTATACCACTATATAGCAACACAGGGCCCATTACCCAATACAACAAAAGATTTCTGGCAAATGATTTGGGAACAGAATGTTGAAGTGATTGTCATGCCAACCCTTGAAAGAGAGGGAGGAAAGGTAAGTAATAACTCTTGATACTATTAAGCTACGGACACACACTGCAACACTGCACGCAATGTTGCATGCAATTGATGTTGCGAGCTATGACACACGACGTAATATGTTGCACGCAACGTTGCTGAAGTAGAAAACTGTCCTACTTCAGCAACATTGCCTGCAATGTTGCGCGCAATGTTACACCGTGTGTCCGTGCCTTTATTACGGTTCTGATTGGCTATGTCTGTAGCCAATCATAGAGGTCCAATTCGCTCCGCATCCAATCACAGGAACTTTTTTTATGAGGGTAACGCGCGACAGTCATAATTTAAACAATCATACTGATAACGCAGTGGCCCTTACAGGGCTTGGGTGTGACAACGTTATCGTACTTATCAAAACGCGCTATTCTTAAAACTCCTGTTTTATTTCTCTTGAGAAGCTGGAAACCATACTATGCTTTTCTCGTGTTCTCTCAGCATCCCACGTGTTTATATCATAGTATCTAAAACGGAAAACTGTTATATATATTTTTAACTTATCTTCAGCCTTTTTTCTTTCTGTATTAAAACAGGTCAAATGCCATAGATACTGGCCAGAATCAGAAGATCTCGTCATACCAAGAAAGTATGTTGGTGGTATCTCTTTATTTATTCAGTGTTAATTCAAATAGTCTTCTCGACGTCACGATTGTTGCATCATGGGATGTGGACAAGCCAAGCCCAGTGCACATGCTAATATGCTGCAGCGAAGTTTTGTTGTTATTTTCAATTCGTGGAAAAATCATTGTTTATTGACTGATATTAGTTTTCTTTTCCTTGTAAATGAAGCCTTTGTTTACAAAGTTTGTCCACAAATCGAGTATAGAGACTTTACACCATCACGTGATGGCAGCCATGACAGGAGGCATACAGTAGAGTAGCGCTCCCTTGGAGAACTGATTTCTTTCTCATGTAAATTAGATTAGACCAGATTCATTTTTTCTGCCTCCTGTCATGGCTGCCATCACGTGATGGTGCAAAGCCTCTATTTACGATATCAATTTTATTAAGTAACCGTGGAAAAGGCTATTGAAAATGAAAATGCGGAAGGCAATAATGGGGAAGGAAGACAAGATAACAGCGTAGTTAAAGTGAAAAATAAAAAATAAAACCTGATTTCGATTCCGTCGCTAGTTAAAGACCAGCATTTAGTTGTCGAGATAGCAGAAGCATAAACTTGCCTAATTTTAACGCATCATTTTTCCTTTATATGCAGGTTCAGAGTAACCCTTCTAGACAAGAAGATGTACGATTCTTTTACCGAAAGAAAGTTTTCGTTAAAACATCTTGGGGTGAGTTTCATTCCCATTAGAGACCTTTAGTATCAGGTTTACTGCTAACCGCCATGGATCAGGCACAGACACACGCCCAGAAACATGATGAAACACTCGGCATCAATGATATCTAATATGGTGGCTCTTCCAGAACGTTTGAAGTTTGCGGTACCTAGCAAGAACGTAATGCTAAAGGTCTCTATCGTATTGTACCTAGACCTTCAACATGGAGTCCGTCCTCCAAGATGTCTTCAGCCGGGGCATATTTAATTGACATTTGCTTCTTTTGTTTATTTGGCTACAGAGTGGCGAGAGCATCGAAGTTACTCATCTGAAATTTACGCGCTGGCCTGATCATGGTGTCCCTAAGGTAAGGCTCATCTCATTCTCTTCTTTCAATACCTTGTGCATATCATACATGAACGAATGTGAGGAAAACTATCGCTTTGAGTAGTTTTTTCCCAACTCAAGCGCGCGATTTAGGCTTGTTCCACAGATAGCCTAATAATCAACCATGGCTTGGTTAAGAGACCGCTTTGCCTTGGGCGTAAAATTTTCTCATTTCAGTCCATCATTTCAGTCTTTTTGTTGAGAATAAGATTCTCTCATTGAGTTGTATCGATATTCATATGTCTTCTCATACGCAACCAATAAACGAAGTAATGATACTCTAGCGAATGACACGTGGTCTGAAATGGTAAAACAAATTTCGAGAAAATGTGGCTCTATTGAGGATAAGATTCTCTCTTTAAGTTGTATCCATATTCATGTGTATTTTCTTGTGCAACCATTAAACAAAGTAATAATACTCTAGGGAATGACACGTGGTCTGAAATGGGGGAAATTATGTCCAGGGTAAGAGGTCAATAGACTTCTGGCAGCATGTCAGAATGCCGCTCAATTTGATGGACATGACAATAGATTTCCAATTCTCATCAGTTTAAGAGTAAATGGTTTGAACCCAGGTGTTGAAGTTTGTTGTGAAATGTGATCGTCCGGGCTAGTGTAGTCTTGAGAAAGACTGTTGTTGGTGGTGACTGACGTTTCGACAACCTTCTCTCGTTTTCTCACTGGACTCTGAAGATGACTTCTGTCAGGTTGTCAATACCAAAACCTCAGTCACCACCAACAACAGTCTTTCTCAAGACTACACTAACCCGGACGATCACACTTCACAACAAATCTCATAAGTTGAAATTCTTTTGTTTTGTCCTCCAAATTGAGCTCCTTTGACATTACATGCAAGAGGTCTATTCAATGCCTCGTTGTCGAAGATGAGTTGGCTAATTAGTCATTGAGTGCAAGATGGTATCAGTAACAATCCTCTTCCTGTTCTTTAGTGTTCTTTTGAGATGGTTCAGTATGTGACGTACATGAGAGAATTGACGTCATCACAAGCACCCATCGTAGTTCACTGCAGGTATGGTATATCACCTGTTATTATATACTCACCTCGGTATGCACGCTCTGATTTGTCGAAAACTGTGCGGTATTAGTGAACAGAGCACGGGGCTAATGTTATTTGTGCGCACAGGCAGCTGTGCGGAGAGCAAAAACGTAGCATTTATTTCTTTGTAATACAACAGCCTTTTGAATTCGTGCTCCATTTAATACCTTTATTTTAAATGCAAAGGGGCGAGTGTGTGCTGTGTGTTTTCATAAAACACGCTCTCCCAACCAATCAGATTGCAAGATTTATAACAGTTATTTTATAATACTGAACGAAGAACGAAATAAACTGTTTTATTTCTTAATGATCAAAGCACTATTATGGGGATTAGTTACTGACATGTCTTGTTGGTTGTTAGTGCTGGTATAGGGAGGACTGGTGCCCTGATCACAGTAGATGTTTGCCTTGGCTTGATGCAAAGGGACTTAATGGTAAGAGAATGTGATCTAAATGATAAATCCTTCAGAAAAAGGTTGTCTTGTTTTGGATATGGCGCCCTTTTATCCAGGCAAAATTGTTTATTTACTGAGCTACTTAATGATGTAATATCCACAGCACTTGCTCAGATCTGGATCTAATCTTATCCAGTGTCTGCGAGCGAGCGAGCGTTAAGGAGTAAGGATTCCGCGCGCACGGATTCTTTTCTTTTCATCCCCCACAATTGAGAAGTAATTTAGTTATTGGACCAGTATGTCGCATGCGATAAACGCTCGTTGTTGCGCATAGCTTCCTTATTCCCCAACCATTAGGAAAAAAGACACTCGCATCGTAGTTATTTTGTCCAAAGAGTACTTGATTTTCCCAGCATCGCTTCGTATCTTCCTAGACTGCTTTAGACATAGGAATGTGAAACCAATTGTTTATTCTTTTCAGTTTGATGTGGATAAAATCATTCGTAATCTTCGTGAACAAAGGCATGGAATGATACAAACCAAAGTAAGTATATAGGAAACAAAAGCGCGCAACGTCTGATACAGTCCCTTTCACAGTTCCCTGTGCCATCTTGAAAGGTTGCAGTGCCTTTGCATCGAAGCGAGACAAACGGTGAGCTTGGAATCAAAGAGACCTTTTTTAACATCTTGGAAAGTTATTCACGTCTCTATCATTGCAAGCTCACCGTTCGTCTCGCTTCGCTGCAAAGGCACGGCTACCTTTCAAGATGGCGACAGAGACTGAGAAGCAGAATATATTGAGGCGTTCTTGCTTGAAGATTGAAGTATTTTTGTTTCTTTAATCATTTGTGCAAAATGAAAAAAGATGGAGCGCTGTAAGATGCAAGAAGAGTGACAGTATCATTTTTCTACGCCTCACAATGCCAGAATGTTCTACTATACGTTTCTCGTAACAAAGGAAGCGTTTATATTATCTTGATACGTGTTGTTAGTTCACGCTGAATTCTGAGCCGGGCTCCCTGTGTTACTAATAAGCCTTTTATACGTGGACCTCTTCTTTTTACTAAATGTTCCCACAAGTTGTTTAAATTATAAGGTTTTTTTAAATAATCTGTATTTTTATTATCTCCTAAACAGGATCAGTATATTTTCTGTTACAAAGCTTGTCTAGAGGTTCTGCGGTCACTGGATCGGTAATATTGGTTAACAAATCATGTTCCAGAAGAGATATTTCCCTACTACAGCTATCAGTGCTGTTCCCTTGACAAAACGTACTTCAAGTCCTCGTTTTTGCGACGATGTCATCAAACATTTCAGTTGCACTGTCTTATGCTACTGTAACATGCTTGCCTGCCACCAAAAAATTTCAAGTTAGGAATATTCCCTAGTAATAGCACCAGAATTCTTGCGAAAAATATTATAGAAGTATTATATAGTTTTATATCTATCCTATTCAAAGACATCGCCTTCACATAGCACCAGCAGTTAGAGAAAATTCCTGGGCTACAGACAAACATATTAAAATATTTACTTATTATATACCATATTCATTGTTTCATACCATTACAGTGAAAACACTCGAACCATGAAAACTTCAGTGTTTTTTAAACATTTTCCGAATGATACAATCAGAAGCCAGATTCTTATTGAGGTTCAAACATTTTTTCGTGCGATTCCAGAGGCTCTTGTGTTGTTGTGGCCATTAGTTTTATTTTGTGACAGCTACTTCGTCAATGAACGATTTTTTCTGTAAATCATTAAAAGTTTGCGCTATGTGCCACAGTTTTGCATACTACCACTTTTTAAGACGTGATCTAGGAGTTCATAAGTTTTTTTAGTGAGCTAAAAATAAAACATCTAAAGATTTTTCACCATTTGTTGTGATTGGATGGCACCTGAAAAATGTTTGATTCCTTTGTTTCTACAGAGAGCTGTGTTTGGATAGTTCTGATAAATGTCCAAAATTAACCTTGAGGTGTTCTTGGTTCGAGTTTCCACACTGTAATATATTATTTTCATATTGCCAGTTTGCAATCATTTCTCAGAAAACATGGCTATTTATATAGTCGGTTGATACAATACTCCATTTACTCAATTCCATTCACTATCCAATTTCTGCGCATAGCAAAACTCCAGTTTATAATGCATGGCAACTCCAGCCTCGGCTTGGAACTATTATTCATGGTCACTGATAAGAGAGCTGTAAAATGGAGCATATAGCATGGTGACTATGAACTCCAAATGAATTCCTGTAAACTTTCAGAGTCTAAAGTTCGTTCTAACTTGACGACAATTGCAAACGTCTCTTTACTGCTTGCTGCCTTCATTCATGACCTCTTATTTTGTTTTACTATAGTTAAAAAATGGTTCGACTAAGATTGAGTGAGGTGCGTAAAAAGTAACTGAGTAACGTCAGACCAGTCCATGTTAGACTTAGTATTGTAGAATTTAGTTTTGAGTGGAGTTGTACATGGAAAACAAGTTTTAAAATTGATAAATACTACAGATAATGCCAAATACAGGAATTAAATTTTTATGAAAAATATATATACAAAGTAGTTTTTTACAAAGTCACTTATTAATATATTTCAGCAGAAGTGCCATGCCTCAAAAGAATTGAGGTGAAATTTATGTTTGTGTAGAATACTGCAAATATAAACCTTTAATAAGCAAAGAAATGCTATCGAGAACATAACTTCATGTGATTATAAGAACAAAATTATTGTGTTTTCCTGCACTCTATGCAAGCTACTGTCTCCTGCTTTTCTTTCTTTCACATCTGGGATCCCTGTGTAGTAAAGGAGAGGGGATACTTCCCAGTAAGGAGCAAGACCCAATCCAGCCTAAAACAGGCGATCTAAGGAACTAAACTAAACTAAATCTTAGTCACCATATAAGGCTTTTAAATACAATGTCATATTTTAACAAAAGTTAAATTAATGCAAATATGATTCCAATTTTAAAACTATTATGAAACGTTAAGAAATCAATAAAAATGTTAATATTGCAAGAGTTTGTTTGATGTCAAATGGTAAAGCTACATACCTTTACATCCAGATATGGTAATCATTGCCTGTCATGAATGCATTTTCGAAGTGGATATTAAATTTTGGAAAACTAAGGCCTTGTTCACATGAGCAGAGAATGATCCTTAGAACTAGGATCTTCCTTGCAGGCAAATCAACTTGCTTTATATTTATTGCTTTCTGTTCACATGCCCATTGGCAGGCTTCTTTCGGGTACCAAGATATTCCCAGCAGTAGGATCTTCTTGTCTTGCAGATAGGAAGATCCTAGCACCAGGAATTAAGTTTACATGTCTTTTCTCATATAAACTTAATGCATGGTTTATTCTTCTGAAAGGAAGATCCTAGGTCTAGGATCATCCTCCTCCAATGTAAACAGGGCCTAAGAATTATCGCTCTTATCATTGCTATAGGATAAAGTACAACTGTTGCGACATGGAAATCAAGAAAGAGACTACCATCAATCAAATAAAATGTTTGGTACATTTAAATACTCTGATTGATGGCAATGTGTTGCCTGATTTCCCTGTCACATCAGTTGTCTTCATCAGTGAGTAGCAATGGAAACGGTGGTAATTGATGATGGTTTAAGAGAGTGATGATGATGATTGCATTATTGTTGGAAAGGATGATGATGATGAGGATCACATGATGGTTACCATGATGATGATACCAATGGTGGTAATGACAACCATGGTAATGGTTGATGATGTTTAAAGATGATGACTCAAATCTGATACCAAGTCAATGTTACAAATTAACTGACTACTCCTTAAAAATCGAGTGTATGCAGGGCTTAGCCTCCTTAGAATCCATGAGTTGTGTGTTTAATTTATTCTAATTCAGGGGTGGATCCAGGATTTTGTTCAGGGAGGGGTGCTAAGCACAAAGTTAACCCAGGGAGGGGTGCACCCCTTAGAATCAAAGGCAAAAAGCAGTATTGGTTATTTTCGAAGTTCGGGCACAAAGTCGAACCACACCCCCTGCACCCTTTCCCTGGATCTGCCCCTGTAATTTCTGCTTTTGTTTTCCTACATCACAAGTGAGGCTAAGCCCACATACCCTGTAGTTTTAAGAGCCGTCAATAGGTTCCCAAAGAAGTAAAGTGGAATTCAAATTTACTTATATTACTTGAAAAATTAGAATGGGTGCACTGAAAATGGGATCGAGGGCATTACAAATGGACATACATCAAACAATATGGGATTTCTTTCATGGAGGCATTTGAACTGAAAATTTTGAAGGGAAATATACTTTAATACCATTTAAAACACATCACTGAAAGGCTATTCCAATTGGACCTTTTGATAATATGGACACTGTTACAGACACTTCTAGTCTATTCCTTGGTGCAAAACGAGAAAAATTAATCAAAAGGTAGCCTTAATATTTTTCTAATTTACACCCATACTCCCTTCCCCTAAGCAGTATGAATATAGAGGTTTTACTCCATCACGTGCCCATCCCATAATACTGCTCAGGCTTCCTGTGGTTAGAAGGCAGAACAATAAAATTCCTTTGCTCTTAGTAATTGAATTTTTTCTCATGTAAAATGATTGTATTGTTCCTGAATGTCTGTGTTGGAAAAACATTTAAACTGACCATTATTATCTAATAAGAAACACTGCAGTCTTTGGATTCATCAGGTGTTTTTAATGAACCAAAACTTGCAGATCTTTTTCACTTTCATATTTCACACGTACGATATTATATTCCATGTACTTCTTTAAGATGTAAATTGTCACTGTCATTCATAATATAAATATCTTCTTCTCTAGGCTGCATCATCTTCATCATCTTCATTCCCTGAATCTCTATCATCATCAGGGAAGTCTTGAGCTCTTAGTTTATCAATAGCACACAAGTAATCCGTGGCTATGTACAAGAAAACACAACCTCCAGTTAAACCAATGAGGGCTCGAGCTAGTTTATTCTTAGGACCAATCTCCTTGACTATAGCCCAACAAAGGACGGACCCTAAATTCATAATCCAGCTCCCAAAAATGCTCCACACAACACGTCTTGAGCGGGAAGGTTTCAGAACATCGTTGATCGGTCGGTTGTAGATGTACACACCAAATCCAATGTGAGACAAGCATAAAGTACTGTTGAACATGATAAGCTGGCCAGTCTTGTCTAGAAATGGAAAATGGATCCCCATGGAGTTGAAGGCCAGGGCAGAGTAGCTGAGTCCTCCGAAATAAGGGGTGTATTTGATTAGAGATCTTCGGACATCTTCGATGGTTATGGACGCCATCTTGGAAATACCATTACCCAAGATACTATGCAAACTTACCACAGGAGGCCCAGTTTCAATATTCCTAAACAGCCATTAGACTAACTTTGGGCTTCCTGTGTTAATCCTTCTATTGTGCTATGTTCAGATAGCGGAACTTAATGCGCATTTATTAAAACTACAACTACAACCTATGACCTATGTTTTAACCATCTTTTAGCTATTATTTCATATCTATTTATAGATATAAAAATCATAGTTCTATATTAGTTATTTGTCATTGTTAATCTCTCCTTTTGGTGGCAGAAGTTTGGTTTTGCTAACGCTTTACCAGTTGCGTTACCAAATATTTTATAGTACAAGTGATGTATAGAAAATATTCAAATCAGTCACATGTTTATTGAACATGCTTTGGAAACTTGAGTTAGTCACGAATGTTAAGAATATGGCCGTTCTTTGAGCTGAAAAAATATTCTTTTGGCCGTTTTTATGGCAGAGTTTGAGGCCAGTGAAGCATCACCATCATGGCAGAAACATCGTCGGCAAATGGAACCTTGTCTTCGAACACAAATGCGAAGACTGCTTCAAAGAAATGTGCAATTTGTCCAAGCCAGAAAGCCATAGTTGTGATATCGTTATCTTTATTCATTTATTTGTTATTGTATTTACAACCATTCGGTAATTACCCTAAAGTTATTCGAAAATTATTATCAATACGACATGTGAATTCAAACGGTACCATCAGTCCAAACATTAAAGGAGAAGTGTTTCTGCTTATTTTAATCAACTCTATTCCCAAGACTTCAAGTAGAAGAGCTGTTCTTCGAGAGACGTGGGCTGGAACTGCCAAAACAGATACCCCTGGTAAGTCTATGAACACTAAAAACAGTTTTAACAACAATCTACAAGTGTTTTGCGTGTTTTTAGTGGGACGATCGAGCAATGAAAAAGAAAACACCGAGCTCGAACGAGAGGCTTACATCAATGGGGACATACTACGAATCGACACTTCAGAAAGCTATAGAAATATGATCAAAAAAATCTGGGGAGGATACAGATGGGCTTCTAAAATCAAACCCAAGTATCTGATGAAAGTTGACGACGATATCTATTTGAATATACCGCATTTAATCACGTGGATACATAAGAAGTCTCTTCCACAAAAGCTCTATGCAGGCTGGGTTTTGCATCTTGGTCGAATAATGCGAAAGCCTAACAACCAATGGTATGTCAGTTACGCTCAGTTTCACGAGCACTACTACCCTGACTACTGCATTGGACCTTTTTATCTCCTCTCAGGCGATTTGATCGAGAAATTAATCCAGGTTTCTCTCAAGAGAAAAATGTTTAACGTAGAAGATGCATACTTGGGTGTGTTGATGAGAGATTTGAAGATTCGACCTCTTCGAATTAACGATCTGTTTGTGTGGGATCCAAGCCTCGGGAACTCTATTCCAAACTGGTCAAATAAACAGTTTCGCCAGGTTATTTGTCTTGGAGAAAGACTTGACAGTAAGATAATTCGCTTAATTCACAGTAAATATCAAAAAATTGGATTCTTATGATTCACTGATTCGATGAATTAATTTGTACCACAGGAAGCCCATTCCAGAAAAGGAGTTCAGTGATCTGAACATTGACTATTTGTGCATTTAACTACGCAAAATTTTAAGAGTAATATAATTATTTCAAATCTATGAATTAAGCAATATTTGCGCTTTTTCAGTTAAAGGTTATTACACGTTCTGACTGACTAAGTCTTTTGAACATCAGTAACTTTAGAGAAAAACTGCACGCTGGTGTTTCAAAAAACTCTATAAAATGACAATTTTAGACTTTATAACTACTACACTACTGATTTCACTTCTGTAGCTTGGCCTTAACGCAACCTCGTAAAAAAGTCATATGTTGCAGTGAAGGCCAGTGGAATTTCAAAGTTCTTGTATTCACCATTTTCCATACATCGGTTCACTGGTCAAACACAAAGCATTCAGTCGAGGTTGCAAGGTTCAAATTTGAATAATCCTTTGAAAGTACCTTGGCGCCTCGCTTGAGCGCTTTGTGTTTGACCAGTGAACCAATGTATGGAAAATGGTGAATTGTCGAAGTTGTGCATTGTTTACAACAGTTACTAACACGTTGCACCACAGCCAATCACAGTAATCATGTTGAGGCCAGGCTGCATAGCCCTAAAGTCAGTTCGACTGCTAATGGTTCGCTCCTATTTAAATACAGTGAAAATTGTGCCGTTTTTTTATTAGAAAACTGGAGTAAAGTACAATTTTTACACGGAATGGTTGTCATACTTGAATACTGTGCAAATTGTTTTGAGGATTTCGAGGGATTTTCCGAGTTTTATCGCCCAGAAGAAGAGATGGATGGTAGGAATCGTACTGTCCAGCCTTGGAATATCTAGACGGAAAGGTTGTCATGCTTCAAGACTGTGCTGTTTTTTAGGAGTTTGAGGGATGTTTCAAGTTTTATTGCCTAGAAGAATGGAGATGGTAGGAATCGTAGTGTCCAGCCTTGTCTTTTCTTATGTAGAGGAGGGAAACGATTAATAAATATACACAAGATCGACTAAAACCTGGCCCTGACTACAAACCACCAAAACAACCATGAATATAGGTATGTTAAAATTGATTATATTTTGATCTCGACCCCTTTCTTTCACCGTAATCGTTATGTAGAACGATTACTGCCTGTGTTCTTGTCTACTTCTTGTTCTTAGTTTTTTACTATTCTTCGTTTGCAATAGACGTCATAGCCGCCATGTTGGAAGAATTTGACAAAAGATTTTTCAATGAATTCTTTTGTTATATCTTCCAACATGGCGGACATCCCTTTTGTTATTGTGCTCTCTAGGGATTGATTGCAAACCAAGAATGCGAAGTTCGTTATAGTCAGTATTTAGCATATGGATGGTCAGTCAGCAGACTTGGCAAATAAATTATATTAATAGATTACTGAGAGTCAATCTATGAGCTAGCCATATCCTAACACCAACGAATTGTTTCATTTTTTGATAAAAATCATGTATTGATGGTTTTCAACCATTCCCAAGATAATAGACCTTATTCGTGGTGTGACAATGTTTTCCCAATTCAACGTGACAATCCTCTGGGGGAATGAAGAGCTATTGTTTTGCAACTCGTCAGGATATCATCGTTATTCCTTTCGTATCCTTTGGGATACTCATGAATTTTTCGAAGAATAAAAACAAAAGAAAATAAATCCTCTGGAGGTTTGTCACGCTGAATTGGGAAAACATTGTCAAACCACGAATAAGGTCTATTAGATAACAAAAGACACGGCGGCCATGTTGGAGGATATAACAAAATAATTCATTGATAATTCTTTTGTGAAGTTCCTCCAACATGGCCGCCGTGAAAACCATCAATACATATCACCGTACTAACATTTATTTAGTTTGGTTTTAATCTATCGAAACTACTTGAGAAAAGATTTCTCAACACACTTGCACGAATTTTCGACCGCCGAAATGCGTAAATAAGTGGGTTAATCAAGGACTGAAAGTGCACAAACGAAAGCCCAATAGGCTGAGCGATATATCGAAAATCAACCGTCCATTGGTTGCCTTTCAAGATGCCTAAAATTCGCATGGTAATGATAGGACAAAATGATATGATGGATACGACTATGATTGCTAATAACGTTACACTTCTCTTTAAGTCTTTCGCCTCTTGCTTTATTTGTCGATGTTGCTGTTGTTGTTGCTGCTCGATGTTGCTGTTGTTGCTGCTGCTGTCGTTGTTGTTGCTGCTGCTGTCGTTGCTGCTGTTGTTGCTGCTGCTGCTGCTCTTGATGCTGATGGAGCTTCTCCTGTCGTCGCTGCTTCTAGTTTTGTTGTTGCTGATGCTGCTGCTGTCGTTGTTGCTGGTGGTGGTAGTGGTGCTGCTGCTATTGTAATTGATGCTGTTGTTATCGACGCTGCTGCTGATGTCGTACGTTATGTTGTTTTCTTGTCGTTTGACAGCCTCTCGCTGAACTGCAATCGTTCTTCTCTGATGAAGAGACTTAGCAAAGACTTTAAAAGAGCAGAAAACAATGACTAGAACGCTTGGCACAACAATAAGAACTCCCGTTATCTTCTTTGAGTAATACGAGTCATTGAGCAGTAGGGTACACGTCAAAGTAGTACAAGCTGTGAAAACCCATCCTATGATCACGACTGTGATGAGTCTTTTCGTCGTAATACGTTTTTGATAATATAATGGATAATGAACAGCTAGATATCTTTCTACACTAACCAATAAGATGCTTACTAACGACCATCCGCTACACAGCAGTGCAGATACTTGATAAGCAATTGTTAACTCACATAACGATGAACATCCAACCATATTACAAACCGTCATTGCAACGAATAATGGTTGAACAAGAAGTCCTACCAACAGGTCAGCAACCGATAGAACACCAAGAATAAGGTAGTAAGTAGCTGTTCGAAAATGATAGTTTTCCAGTACAGACCAAATGATTAAGAAGTTAAGATAAGCAGAAGGGATAGCAGTGATCGGGTTAAGGACGCAGAATACAATCCACGTTGGAATAACTGAAGCAGGTAGATCAACAGTACTTTTGACTTCATAATCTAGCGACAATATACAACGTGGTTTGGATTCAGAAACGTTTACTAAGACATTTGCCATTCGGTGTCCTGACCTTCACACGGAATCATAAACTCGAATATTCTGCTTTGCGATATTTTACTTTTTGGCCACGCTCATAAGAATGAGGCGGTTGGCGCAGTGACACTTGTAATGCGGGAGATATGTCAAGTGTAAATCATAGGTGAATCATTATGAAACAATTATCTTCATTGATTACTGGATTCTGAAACAAAATATTGATTTAAATTACGTTAAGAGTGAAGTCAAAGATGTGAAAATGTTTCTTTGGGCTAAGAGTTTATAGACAAAAAGAATAACTAGAAGTTTCTTGAATAGATATTTCGGACGACATCCATCGTCCATCATTAGTTTAATGACTCTATAAGCGAAGTCAAAAATGAAGTTAAGAGTGCAAATTAAGAAGAGGGTCCTGAAGGGGTAATATGGGAGCTGGAATATTCCTTTTCTGGGCTGGGAAAATGGGATTTTATGCACTGAGAATAGGATAAGCAAACAAAAAATGAGAAATAGGAAGTGGGATCGAGATTTGAAACAAACATATCCTATCCCGAATTCGCTTGACTGGTCGCTTGATGAATAAAAGAATCAAGTTCAATCTCTTCAAACCATTGTTTCGTGGTCAGTCAAGCGAATTCGGTATAGGTCTATTTGCTCAAAATGGGAGAAAGACTGTTGGTACAAGCATTTGGCGTCATAATCCTGCTTTTCTATTATTGTTCCCATATTCTACTCCTTTCAAAGAAAAGAAAATTAAGCATAAAAAAACTACACGATTTTTTTAGTGGGATAACTAGATTTACAGATCAGATTAGAACTTAGTAGGTTGAATTGTGCAGAAGGAGGAAAACCTAAAAACCCGGAGAAAAACCCTCGAAGCACAGAAGAGAACCAACCAACAACTCTACTCACATAAGACGAGTCCGAGGATCGAAACCGGAGTCGCATCGTTGAGAAGCGAGCGCTCTCATAGCTACGCCACCCATGCTTCCGTGACTAAAACCATAGTTTGGCTGCAGATGAGTATACAGTGGCACGAAAACGAGCCGTTCCGATTTTGCGCTCAAAAGAAAACCTGATACAAAGGATTTGTGATTGATCAATAATTGTCATTAGAATTTGAAGGGGTTTTGATCGCTTTAATTTACGAAAACCCAAACGAAAGATTAATAAAATAAATCTTTGTATCCAGTCTCTATCGCTTTCGCAATAATTGAGGACACGCACACTACCGCGCGCTGCGTTCAATCTTTAATTTACAAATCCTATACGGAGAGAGGAAGCAATTGTCCTAAAATATGCTATCTTTGTAGTATTGTATGAATCAGCAGAAGTGAACTATTTGAAATGGTGGATTTAAAAACATATAGCCAATAGGGACCTTAAGCATCGTTAGGGATCTTGAGCATCATTAGGGACCTTAAGCATCATTAGGGACCTTAATCATCATTAGGGACCTTAAGCATCATTAGGGACCTTAAGCATCGTTAGGGGCCTTTATTATCATTAGGGACCTTAATCATCACGATGGACCTTAATCATCATCAGGGACCTTAAGCACGCCAGGTTTTCGAAGCGCCCTTCACCTCTAACTCAATATTTTCATATATCAATATTTTTACATGAAGTGAATAGTTGAATGGTAAAATACTTTCATATTATTTAAGTGATGCATCTTGGAGATATCAAAGTTTATACTTCCAATATGTTAATGAGTTTTGTATATTTAACAATGCCTCCTAACGAAGAGCTATATAACGACCGTTAATTCAGTTGATTATATCGCTTCAGGTTAAATTAAACATTGTTTAAGTTAATGAGTTTAGACGCCATTATGGTTTTGCTCTTCTAATGTAAGTCACGGAGTGTCTGAAAGACTATCAGTTTCGTGTCGAACGACGATATGCAAGGGCCTTTTTCATACACTTTTTAAAATGAAAACACAAAAGTTCCCATACCCTGGTCACAGAGGTTTCTCGTACTTTTTTTTATATCTTTATATTAATCAAATACTACGTTTTCATGCTAGTTAAAAAATAAACAGCTTTAAGAATGTTTCCATACCAGAGTGGCAATAGAGTGACATATAAATGTAAAAATTTTTTCAAGATTTTTGGACCAACTTTGAACACAGGTAGCCCAAACTAGGTTTCTGTGATGTCATATTATAAGAAAATGTATGGCGATACTTAAGAAGCTCAATCAATTCGTCAAAATGTGAAAAAGAGAAGGAATCTCTGGTATTCATGCTTGTAACCATCATAGGCACCATTTGATGCTATTTTTAGAATCACATTTGCAATCGTTTGTTTGTTTATTTTATATTCTATTTTTATAATTATTTTGGCATGTGCATGGCGGTGTGCCCTCTACGCTCTTTGCCCACGTTTTGTTGAAAAACGCTAGAAAGCGTGAGCAACTATGTCGGCGGTGCACAGAGGGTCCTTGACTCTTTGCGCCGGCTTCGCTGAGAAATACGTGATAGACGACTTGGAACGAGTCGAGCGTAGAGCGCGTATAGAAAAATCTAGAATCCATTAGGAAAACTAGATCAAAACTAGAATCCATCAGAAAAGACTTGTGAATTGATAGTGCCAATTTGGACGTTTTTTTAAATACAAAATTATGCAATGTAGCCAAAGCTCAGACAACGTCACAATGGTATTGTATTGTATTATAGTTCTATTCCTAAATCTTAAACCGGTATCTGATTTACATTTGGCATACTCTCACTCACTCACTCGCTCACACACACTCACTCGCTCACACACACTCACTTGCTCACTCACTCATACACTCTCTCACTCACTCACACACTCACTCACTCACACACTTTCACTCACTCACTCACTCACACTATCAAACACACTCACACACTCACTCACTCACTTAAAAATTTAAAAAATCCACCGGGCTTTTCATCCGTGCCCGGCAGTCTGTTATCATGAGAAATTGAGGTGAGTGCTTTGACAAGAGAGTCGTTCGTATTCTTTGACGAGGAAAGACAGACACTACAAATTAAAATCTATTAAGCAGAGGAAAACATCGCTCGAAATTTCTGTATAAAAATAGCCGGGATACTTTAAATCGATTACAATTCTTTTTAGGTAAGAAAATTAAGTCATGCAAACCTCTAGAACTCAGTCGAAATCGGCAAATTGTGTTCAAGGTACTTAAGACCTGGGTGGAAGATCAATTATAGCAAGAATCATTTTATTTTTCTTGTTGTTATAATTGTACTCAAACCTTCCCAAAATTGGCATGGGCACTTTATAAGCTTAAATCTTCTTACATGCAGCAAATCGTTTCTTATTTGCAGCAACTCGTCTAACTTGCAGGCAAATCGTTTCTTATTTGCAGCAACTCGTCTAACTTGCTGCATTTCCCTTATTATGGGCCATCATTATCATTATAACTCACTCTATACCAGTGACTAAATTTGTAAGCGTAGACGATAGCCTAAATCACTTGGTATGTTTTTGTTTCTCAGACAACCGAGAGTTACTTCTCAAACAACTTGAGGAGTTAGTATGAAAGTAGTCGTCTAAGTGAAATAAGGAAAATACATTAGAATAGGTTCTATTTTGGGCATACAATGCTGGGGATTCTCCCTTGGGGTTCGATTCATGGACCGGTTATTATCACTTTTCCTGAATGCATCCAGACAAAATGGCAATCGGTGAAGTGATTTTTAGTCAAACATGTCTATTTTTAACTTTTCGATCTTTGAATTTATTTTTCTCAGTTCTCTCGTCTTCTCTTGTCTTGTCTTCTCTTCTCTTGTCTTCTCTTCTCTT